CATTTAATAGTGACATGGGAGTGGGAACAAAGAATTTCAGCCCCTCTTTGCAATCCTTGCAAATTCTTTATGGGATCGCAGTGGCAAGGTTGAATTATATATGAAATCTCTCCTATATTCAAATTTCAATAGACGAACACTATATAAAAAAATCTGCTGTTTTAGGAGTATAGGAGAGAAGAGAAAAAAGTGACAATTTATTCAACAAGAATTCAGCTGTATTTTTAGCTTTGAGACTTACAGGATGATATTTTGGTAAAGAAAGACAGTTGGCATCCGCAGTTGCTCAGTTTCCTAAAATGACAGGTACTTTCAATCTACAGAATTGATTTTTCTGCAGTTTAGGTTTTTTATGTCTCTACCATCCAAACTATATTGATAGATATAACTGAATTAAGGGGTAAAACTTTACATGTTTTGCATGTCAAGTGACAGTGTCTCTTCTGTAGACTACAATTAATCAACAGTTCCATGAGAAGATGATCTTCACAGAGGCAAAGTCCCAAGAATTCAGATGGACATTAGCAGTATTGTACCTCCTTCTAGTACTATTGCTCATTTATAGCGCTTTGTTAATAGAACTGCTTCCACCAAATTCAGTCATTTCAAGTGATAAAGATGAAGTGTTTCCAGATGTGTCAGGAGAGAATGCACAGAAATAGATAAATGGTAAAAAATTGTAAAAAAACATAAAAATATGTTCCAAGACCCAGTGATATTTGCTTAGTTGAACAAAATGTGGACTTACAAGAGGATGGATTCTACAATATTCTTAAGAAGCAACTTGCGACGTGAGTTGCGTGGCATAGTCTTTAAAACCGTGGCTTACAAGGTCCGGTCTTAGCCATACTGGGGTGATGGCTAAAGAAGCCAGCCTTAGAAAATTAACTGACTATAAATTGATGAGGCATCCAACAATTATGCACTTGCAAAAGAAATTTCCTTTTCAAACCCGTGATTTTCTCTTTTTGTGGCTTATATAAATTAATGCACCAACTACTTGTGAGGCGAAGCAGAGGTTAGTGGGAGACTCGGGAGGTATAAAATGAGGAAGTGTGAGGAGATAAAAATAAGCTTTTTTAGCTTTTTAATGATAACAATACTGCATTCAGTAATTACGATAATGATTAAAGTTGCACTAACTTATTGTTCCACTATCTGATCAGTCTGGGTCTTTCCAGAAATGGAAGTCATTAAGTGAAATTTCTTTAATAAAGCATGGAAATAATACTTATTGCTAGAGATGTTTTTCTTATTTTCAACAAGTAATTATCTTTAATATAGCATATGATCTCATTTTGATTTGAGATTGCTTCTGTATCCCAGCATCAGTCACGCAGAGAAGGCCTGTTAGAATTCAGTTGGCATCTTCTTAAATATAAAGTGAATGTTATCATGTGCCACTCAGCAGGAGCAGGTATTTAATTTTTCTTTTTGGGGGGTAATTTCTTTTTTAAACAATGCTGATACCCAATCTGCTTTTATTTTCCATTAAATTCTCTTTATTCTGCTTAGGTTTAAATCACGAGTAAAAGGAGTACTTTCCTGAATTCGTATGGTGTTGCCTTCAGAGCAGTAGCAATTGAAAGGTGGCTGAATTTTAACTTATGGGTTTGTTATTATGGTGACACAAGTTCCTATTCGCTTGCTCTAAAAGCTTAACTATGTACCTGAGATTATTTTAGTGATACTTAACATTTCAGTAAAAGGTTTGTTTTTCAGCTGGAGTTTAAATTATGTATATTTAAGTACTTTTACAGAAGGTTATTTTTCTCATTAAAGTTTTTATTTTGGGGGGAGTCAATGGAAGAATGTTCACTAAAACAGGTAATCTTTGTAGACATTTGGACTATTATTTTTCTGCCTTTCAAACCTTATTTAAGGAATCTGGAATCAACCTTAATGTGCAGAACAAATATAAATACAGTCAATCAAATGTAAGTTTGCAAGACCAAACATACCTAGCTTTAAACTTTTCCTGATGATAAACTCATTGCCAAGTCGTCTTATGCACAGAACTTACTGTGTTAAGCTTAAAACATGTCTGAAGTATTCATATTACAGTGATTTTTTTTCAAGATATTGGTATTTTCTCAATTGCTCTGGGAGAGCCTTCTCCTGCCTGAGGGCTGTGTTATAAACCTGTGCCACAAACCTGTCCAAGAAAGGACTGATCTACAGCATGGCTTGGCAAGCCTTACTTCTCCCCAGAAAACACTTGGCTGTAGTGCTTAACAAATTTGCTAGAACGCTGGGTCATAATAACAGTTTCATATGGTTGTAGAGCTAGAGCTAACATGGGCCTGATTGCAAGCAGGATAATGCACCAGCTGCACTTGCGGTAATGTGTAAAAGTGGAGTAAGGGTATAAATGCTGAGCAACAAGAACAGAGTTCAGCTGAGCCAGTAAGGCTATAGTGAAACCAAAGGTACAGTAGCTTTAGTTACTGTAAGAAATTGAATCTGGGGCCAGGAACACTCCAAGCCAAAAGATGAACTCATCCAGAGTATCAGGCTTCAGTGTTATTTGAAAGCAAGAGTATCAAACAGTGAGTAGTGAATGGCTTTGAAAGTGCTTTTGGCATGAGACTATGAAGGCTACGCTTGGCGTAAATCCATTTCAGGACACAAACTTATAGTTGGCCTAGAGGTGCAGTAAATATAAACTTTCCAATTTAAAGAAGTTAAAATAACTTTACACTTGTGTCACCTCCAGAAGCTAAACTTGCAAATTTTTCCTTGGTGAACTTTCAGAAAGGACGACGATGTAATAGAAGAGGCAGTAGGGCTTGGTAGTAAAAACAACCTATTGGGATATCAGAAAGGCGTTGGCCACACATCAAAAACCTAACGGATTTCAAAGAGGGAGAGAAAGCCATAAAGTGTTTTTGACTTGGTGTTTATCTAAAGCAATTGCCAACAATAATTAGTGGAGAATGCAATCTTAGCAAGTACTATTCAGATTTTCTTCCTTCGAACCACGTTTTCCTAGTTAAGTCTCAAGAAATATATTGTGCTTTCATGTTAGGAATCAAAACACAGATAAAAGTAATGAAGTCATTCTAAACTTTGTAAAGCAGGCTTCATTAAGTTTCACATACTAAATTCAGGCAATCAGCAGAAAAATGTTTATAAGCCATTTCTGTAGATGAATAGGGGGAGGTTCTTAAGAATGTCTTGCAAAGAAAAGCATTTCATGACCTCCCTTGTCTTTATTAAAGCCTAAAGAAGGCCCCAAAGGGAGTATTAAGCTTTTCTGTAGTAAGGGCTACATTTGAATAGAGATTTGTCTTTTAGATTTCTTCAGATTCTTCCAGACAAGTTGTTTAGCTTACCTGTGGCAAGTCTAATGAGCAGGTATGTAAAAAAAAAAAAAAGGCAACAGGACTTGGTGACCAATTTGCTTTCCAGAGCTGGTGTCATATCCTCTGCACTTTGGATCTATTGCCATTTGTGAAACTTGTTGAGAAAGTTCTACCTCTGTTTATTCTCTTATAAATAAAACCTATTTTTGCCCATGAAGTAGCTATTTGAATTATCTGGTTTTCCACAGCAGTTGGTTTGATTTTGAGTCAACCGATGATCAGCAGAAGGCTTCATTGCGGGTGTTGTAAGTGGGGAATGGTATAGAGTGGATCCTGTTCAGATACTGTTCAAGGAGCCTTAAATAGTCTAACCTAAATGAAGCAAGTACATGAACAAATAAAATATTTTAATTTGGGGCAGATGCAGTACTTAAAGCTAAGCAATTATACTTACCTGTGCTGTCTCTTCAGTCAGAATAATGTCCTGATGCCGAAAAAAGGTTGAATCTTTGCATAGTTTATGTCCCCAAATGCTGATGTTCTAGAAGGCATCTTTTCTCTGTTACTATTTGAATTTATATGGTTCTATTCTCAAACTCGTATTTCAGATTCTGTGTTTAAGTTGGCTCTTACATTGGTGGCTTTTTAAACCTGAAGTTCAGAAAAGTCCAAGACTTCTTTTACCAGTATTTTGTAACAATTTTATTAATTTATCCTGCAATGGCCTTGGGTGTGTGGCATGTTCTCTCACTTTCAGAGTTTTCTAGCACTGTAGAGCCAATTTTTCTGACACGCAGCAGCTATATAACATTATTATTCAGCAATAGTAGCATCAACTGGATTCATAAAAATAAGGAAGTTTTAACTTGTTCAACGATGCTCTTATGTGTATGATTCTGGTTAAATTAAGTCACAGGGGGTCTGTAGATGAGGTTAATAAGATTCAACTGTGGTGTGTGTATCTTTGAAAGCTTGAGGAATTACGTCGTGCCCACCCAGCTAGCGCTTGCACTGCTAACTCTGTTGGTCTGCACAGCTCGGGGATCAGACTTGAAGTAAGGGCATTGTTTAACTAGAGAAACTCAGAAACCAGTATAAATGAGGAAAAAAGTTGGGGGCTGGAGTGCCAGGGAGTTTCACCTGGGAAGGTAGTTTATTGCCTGATGCTTACCTAAGGCAAACGGTGTGGAGACTTCTTGCTGGTTTTAATACACTGTTCACAGTTGGGGAAAGGGAGTGCGCTGTGCTGGTGGATTTTGTAAGTGGTGTAGTAATTAAGTGCAATATGGCAATAACAGCAAGTCTCTTCTGGTCGGTTGTGTTTGAAAGTATTTCCCAGTTAGGGTTTCACTTCTGGCAGTGAGGTCCAGCGAGCATTAAATGAACATGAATTTTAAAATACAGCAGTAGAGGTATTTTCAGAAATGCTATATATCACCATTAGGAATGTGTGATGCATGGTTTATTTTTTCACACACCACAAATACAGTTACTTTGCAAACTAGGTTTTGTTTTCAACCATGAGTCAAGAAGACTGCTCTGTAGATCAGCTCTGCTTTCATCTGCTGTTCATCTGTAGGTTAGTTTTATTACTTCTTGCAGTTTTCATTATGCATACTGAAGTTAGTTGCATAAATTAAGATCATATGGACAATACACATAACTAATTTTTGTGTTCTCTGATTCCCTTTGCAGTTGATGAAGGTCGTATTAAGGAACTGGGCAGAGTGAGAGTACTTCACAAGAGAACCGTGATGCCTTACAGTGTGTATAAGAAAAGAAGGAAGGGGCCAAGCGACGAAGCCAGTGTTCAGCAATATGCAAGTTTGGTTGGACAGACCTGTTCAGAAAGAATGTTGTTGTTTAGAAGTTGAAAAATCATTAAATGGGATTTTGATGGCACTACATTTTATTGCACTGCCACTGGATGATATGTGCTATAGTTTTGTGTTAGTATGCCTACTCAAATAGCAGTATGAAATACAGGTATATATCTAGGCTTGTGTGAATACATGGTACTGTGTTTAAAAGGCCACCTCCAATAAAACTTACAATACAGCAAGACTTTAGCGATACAAGTTTAGAAAAATATGCTTGCAATATATTTTAATTAAGTAGTTCTAGCCTTTCTATGCATTTTGAATAATTCTAAGTATCTAAGGAAAATGAAAAACAGGTGTCTTTTTTGTAGAGACAAAGATTGAATAAATCTAGATTAACAATAATTAAATTACAAATGTTTTCAAATAGCACCTTGGATATCTGTTGTTAAAAATTGCCATGAAATTTATGCTCGCATTTGTATGGTCCTAAAGTCTTGCAAGAGAATTGAAACGTGCTGTTTCCTTCTAATGTGAAATCTGGCATGGTTTAATTTTGTTTCAGTAGTATATTTAAAAACAGGAAGAAGTTATTTTCACTGCACATTCTTCATTTGTCTAAAGTAGTAGGTTAGTGTCTGAGGTCCTAGGGAATGTAGGAGGTCATAGTAGATTCTCAGTGGCAGGGGATGCAGTGCTTTGGAAAACTTTCCCCTTTAGAGATGAAACGGAATAGTTGCACTATAAATATACCAAAGATATGCAGCCAAGTGGCACAGTGTTTTTTTGGTATAAGCCTTATCCTTTGTCTAAAAAGAGTGGGTATTTTAATGCACTTCACTAATGTGAAATAGAGCTTGGAAGGTTTATCCTATAGCTCTTCAGTGCACATTTCAGAACTATGCTAAAAAAAAAGACATGAGGTACCACTGCTGGGTTTTGTTGCAATTTTTTTCAGCAGAATTGTATAGGAAGACTTAAATATCATATTCCTGTGTTTTTACTGACTGTTGTGTTTATGGTGCAGCAGCTCACCAATTAACATCTTTAATAACATTTTACTAAATACTTCTGTTGGAAACACAGGAAGTCATGATGCTTTCCGAATGCACTTTATTATCTGATGTATGAACATTGTCATTAGTAGTCTGTGTCCCTATCAAGTCATACAAGTTATAGGAATTTGGGGAAATAACACTCTTGTATAATTCAGTAATGTATTATAACATCGTAACAATACCAATGCATTTGTGTTTCTTATCTTCTTGGATAGGAGCTATTTACCTTGAATCAACTTGAAGTTTCCTGTTAAACTTTGAAGAAAGATTCTTATTCAAGAATATATGTGTAGATGTTTTTCCCCAGAAAGGAACCAAATTCAATTTTACCATCTGAGGGTTACATCTCCTGTCATTCATGGGCTTGGGGTTCAAGTGCATTGCAGATTTAACTTTTTTTTTTTCCATATCTGTTTGATCATTTTAATATTATTGATATAGAGTACAGCTTCAACAGTAATTCTAGAAAGTAATTCTATGTTTTATTAGTTCGGATGTATTGTATTGATCTGTTCCCAGTCTCCAACAAAATTGGTTATTTCTGTCAGCATTATATCTGGTACATGTTTATCTGGTACCAAGAAGTTTTTGTATACTGTACAGTCTAGTTTGTCCATGTCTTATCTAAACCTATGGCCACAGGAGAACCACTAAATACTACTTATAAACATTATTATAAAGAGTTCCTTTCTGTGGAGAAAATACCCTTGCCACTCAGTGAAATGTCAAATAGTATAACATTTTCTGCCTACACAATGTGTTGAAAAGCGGTGATGCCCATACGGCTTAAAACCAAAATAAACGAGAAAACCTTTTTATATGATATAAAATCAGCTAATGGGCACAGAGGAATTCCAGTATGACTTGCAAAATCTTAAAGATTATCAAAACCATTTAACGATGGCCTCGCTGTGCTCCTAGAGAAGTTAAAGTTTCTGTTAAATTGCAAGGGAGCAGACTTAACATCACCACTGAGAGTTCTTGAAGAGTTCCATGGTTTTGTGCCCACTATTTGTTACTGATATGCCTTCTAGATATGTATTAGACTTTTATCTGATGCTCTGTTTCTCTTGGGGAGCTTTTAAGGACTGCAGTTGAAGAAAACTGAGATAAGTGTAAAATTGAAAACTGACTACAGCTTGAAGTTGTCGTTAGTGTGACCACTAAAGGTAAATGACCATTTCCTGTGAATTCTGAAATGGTGCTTTGACTTTCTGACCTCCACTGGAACTGCAGCACCACGGCATGCTGGGCTTCTGACTCTTACTGAACTCAAACAGATATCTATATATATAGATATAGATAGATAGATAGATAGATAGATAGATAGATATAAAAAAAGAGTCAACATTGAGATTAACTCAGAAATTGAGTTCATCTGACGTACCACGCTGAGATCTGACTCGCTTCTTTAGTGTTATTTTAGAAGGAAATTGGTGCAGTATTTTTCAGGACTGATACCTCTATCCCTGTTTTGGAAATGGCATAGAGTCTGAGGAGGAAGTTCTGTAAATCATGCCATTGCCTTCAGTGGAGCTGAAAATTCACCACTATTACAATTTTATTTAATAAGAAGTTGTCACTGAGAATTATTGAATTTAGAGGTATTTAATTTAGTACAAACTATTTTAAAAGAGTTTTTTTAGTGTAGTTAGTTTGTGAGAGTTAATCCCTAAAGTAAGGTTGCCTTGTTCTATCGTCTGTTGATAAATGAGCATAAAATGGTGGTAAGAAAACGCAGAGCTGTGACCAGTGCTAAAAATACCATTCTTTGTTTTAATTGGAAATAAATGGGAAGCTTACTCATTTCCAGCATCAACACATTTCAGTAAATGCAAAAGAACCTGCATGTTGAGTTTGTAATTGCTTTTCAGCAGGCCTGTTTGACTTGTAAGTATAGAAAATAAAGTTATTTCTAGTCTCTGTGAATTATTATAAGTAAGTAATAGCTCCAAGTGTGACTTCTGTGTTACTTTGTAGGAATTCATTATCTTGGAGGTTGACTAAGTGTCCAGTGAAAAGCAAAATCAGGGAAGTCATAGAGTAGCAGTGATTATAAGGGATAATTATCAGTTCAAAACACATGACCATATTTTAGAACTAAATTTTAGTTCTAGCTAGAGAGATTAATGAAGAGTTCATGCTTTGAAACAGAATTTACAGTTCTTTTGTGAATGAAATAAAATACAGAGGCTTTTCACAAACGGAGACTAGGTAGGACTAGCTATTTATTTTAGTTACACTATACCATTTCTAGTTGGTTGAAAAAACCCCTTTCTCTGAAGTAAGCAGCCAAACAAGCAACACAGAAATCTGGATTGTGTGCACAAAGATAACCAAACACTGATTCATTTTCCTGCTGAATGAGGCAGAATTCCAGCTAATTCTGGGTTCCTGAATGAGACTTTTGTCGAAGCCCAGTGCCACCATGGCTGACAAGTTTGGTGTGCCAAGGCTTGCGGTGGTCCAGTGCACAAGGCTCTGTCCTTCAGATCATACTTCCTGGCAGTTTCCTGGGAAACTTTCTGTTTCATTGGTCCTTTGGAGTCTACATCCATCACTCTTTTTGAAGTTCTGTTAATATCTTTGCCAGGTGATCATTCTGAAGCTACTAGCCTGATCACCCATGTATTTCTGAATTCCCCCTCATACTGGTTGTCCCAGATAATCCTTCAGACATGTATTATGTGCTCTCCTCATCAGCCTTTCCATCTCCACCGTTCCCCCCAAGCTTTAATGGTTCTTCTTGCTTGTTCTGTCCCAGTCCTGCTAAAGGAAGAGTCTGCATCTGGAAGGGTAGAGACAATATTTCGGGCAGAAATCATCTCCACATTCAGGGAAATCATCAGTGTTTCCAGAAGCATCGTAGCCACATACCATACCCAATATATTTATAAAAAGGCACCTTCAGAGCCTCTTGCGTATGATCTCACATATTGAGCATAAAAAAAGCCATATTATGTTTCTGCTTGCCAAATGATTTGTTTGCTTAAGCTAGTCGAAGTGATGGAGAGTTTCCAAGCCCTGACTCTGTGGCTGTCCTTAGGAGGCCAGGGTGGTGAGCTGTGTTCCTCGGTCAGGATTGAGCGTCCGCTGAGGAAGGTGCGACAGAGAAAACACCGAGGAAGGGTTGGCGATGACCCTGCGTGACGGAGAGGAACTGAAGGTGGCTGCTGGTCAGAGGAGCATTAACAGGTAAGTAGCCATGTGATTTGCCTTTAGTTACGAGGCAGATATTGGTCTCACTGGGGAAATAAAAATGCACTGTGGAAAACAAATTGTATAAATAGCACCATTTATACATGATGTTAACCATATATGTTAACCATAGCTGCTAACAAAATGAGTATACCAGCTAGGTTGGTTATAATAAGCTACTTTTATATGAGTTTTTTTGAAAAGCACGTAAGTCATCAAGTACACAAGCACTTACTAAACAAAACATTTTGTGAATAGAGCTGCCTAAGTACAAAGATCATGGAGGGTGTTAAAATACATTGTATAAGCCAAAACGCATTTACAGGAACAGATGTACAATAGTAACTCATACTAAAGATAGTAGCCAGGTGCTGGCTGTGGTCAGTGGATTCCTAAATAAAATAGTATTCTATAAATTAATCTATTATATGCATTTTATAGCACATTTGAAGCTCATCGTGTGACAGCTTTGTTTTCTAACAGTATTAAGTAGGAATGTAAAGAGATGAAATTAACATATAAACACAAGTATAGTGTATGTTAGTGCTTTCTATATTAATATGAAACAATCTTAACTCTGAAAACAGTGGCTCTTGCTGATCGTCTTAGACAAGTAACAGCTCAGAAGCTTGCTGGCTGTATCTCTTCATGGTTGTTCCACTGTTTCGATGTTTATTCATTTCCTTATTATAACGCTTCCCATCAGTTATTTTCACTTCGGTTTTGACACATAATACATGTGTCTGCCAAAAGTCCTGCTGAGAGATTGCTATCAGGACAAAAGAAAGTGTTAGAAAGTCTGTTAAGTAGTGAGAAGAGAGCAGAGTCCACAGGGACAGTCAGTCTGCAACCTTTGTGCTGCAGAAAAAGCAGGATTTATTTACAATTTAGTCTGCTGCAGGCTTTAAAATAAATGTGTCAGATTTCATTCATTTCCCTTTGTCTGTGACATCTGATTGTCATTGTCCAGGAAGAATCAATGGAGCGTTGTAGAATATTAAAAATGTAAATAAGATTAGTGTCCTGCATTTCTGGCAAAAAGCTCGAGTTAAGGAATGAAATTGCATGAATTCTGTTGAAATTCTCGATGTCTACATAGGAGCAGAAAAGTGTAGGCTGGATGGGACTTTCAGAAACTGTTTGCTGCTCCTCCCATGTCTTCTCTTCTCCAGGCTGAAGCAGAGCAAGAACACATCTACCACCCCTCACAGGGGTGAACCTCACTGTTTCCATTAATCTCTAACGAAGGCAGTTCAAAAAGCTCCTTAGAGTGATTTTCTGCAGGGAACAGTACCCTTGTTATTGAAAGTTTTTAATACCTGGTATTTAATTTTCATGCTTTTGTTTGCAAGTGAACCTGGTGTGTTTTGTCCTACCTGAAGAATAATCATGTTTTTAAGATATTTTATTGAGCTTTCTTAAGTATTCTCCCATTGGTCCACTTTTTTAGTGTGGTGCCCTACTGCCAGCTGCTCCAGTAATCAAAGTAAGAATTATTTCAGTGGTTTACATCAGCAAATAAATGTTGCTTTTTCAAAGTACTAATTGTCACTGTCAGAACTGATTTTTCTCTTTAACACAGATCCTTATTTTCTGTTTATCTACCACACTTAAGTAAAGTACAGTGAAGAACCAACCCTTTCTATATCAGCAAACGTAATTTTTCTCTCCTTAAATGCTCTCAACCTGCAGCCACCAGAGGGCATGTTCCAGCTTGCGAAGTTCATCCTAGCACTCACGTTACTTCTTGCCTGAGTATCTAAATTTTTTTCTGGGTCTCTTTTATTAACATCTCATTCTGAGTTTAGTTTTTTACTCTGCTTTTCATTGTGGTATATCAGAAAAAAAATTATTGTCAAGTGGGGTTGACAAAGTTTTGTGCTTCATTAGTTGAATGAAGCACAATTTTTTAAAAATCAGGATTAAAAGCTATTTCAAGACCAATAGTCTAGATTTTATAACACCAGATTTATTAGATACCTTATACTACTCCTATATTACTGAAATTAAGATCTGTAGAACACTTAAGGAGGGGCCAGCTGGCAGTTACCTATCTTGATATGCTTCTGATGCTATTCCTTTCCGTGTTGTTCCTATCAAACTCTGTGCAGTAGGAGCATTAATAATGTCTAATATACTGTTCATTGCATGCATTTTGACAGC